AGGCACGTTATCGAAGTGAGTGAGTGATGGTAATAATTGATTGTCGATCTCCAATTTTGGACACTAGTGGCCAACTTTTGTGGCTAGTGCCTCCAATAGGACGCAATGTGTTACCATCATTATCATTATTATCATCATCATATCCAAACTTTTGATATGATTTATGAAGGATGTATGAATATCCAGGATATGTCAGTTGGAGTGATGGGGGTGGAGTGGCCTGGAGAGGGAAATAACTATGAGGAGAATCATCCACTAAAAGAAAGAAAGAAAGTAAGAAAGAAAAGCTCATAAATGTTTTTCTTGATTCCTTAAATCTTTTATCTAGAATTCCACATTTCAAAACTTCTTGACAGAGATATGTCTTAACGCCAAATTACTGAAAACATCACCTTTAACATTTTACAATTTACAGCTTATGTCAACTGTGTTTCTGGGTCATGTTGAGTAAGTAAAACATAATAATTTGGATATATCAACAAAGTTGAAGTGGTAAATTGGCCACCATAACGATTCCAAAAGCTGATGTTTCAAGCGTTTGCCCTAACGCTCAAAACGTCAGCTTTTGGAATCGTTATGGTGGCCTATTTACCAAATTATTTCGTTACTCCCACCGACGCAGCCCCAAACAGTTTCTTTCGAAACTATCAGCCTTTAAATAAAACATAGTTGGATAAGTTTAACATACAAGTTCATCGACAAAAGTAACATTAGTTCTCCAAAAAACATCTCTCATTCAGCAGATTTGACTTCTGCCAGTTTATTGAATTATTTTTTTGATCCTGACAAGCTGTAAGGTCCCTTCATCAAAGTACCTTGGAGTAATTTCCAGAACAGCAGCTTACGACTGCATTCTACCAGCTGCCAATTTCTGGTTTAGAGTTTTTACAATTTTCCCCTTGATTGTCCTCTAAATTCCCATGATCCAACAAGTAAATCTCCCTTCTGACTGCTTAACATTTCCTTGAGAATTAGACAGGACAGTTTGGTCCTTTATCAAGATGAAACCTTCCAGATGATAAACTTCTCAGTTCTCATAACCAGTTTGCCAGATAATATATTTGAATCACAAGGAGAAATTACATGTTAATCACTTGTAGGTGTTAAAGGATTGACAGATGAAGCATCACAGGAGAGAAAGTTGCATTTATAGTAACTATTGTTTGTTCTCTCAAAGATATTTTTCTATCAGCACTGTCACCACCAACTGTCCTTGTTTGAGGTCTTGCTTGAGGGTCTGTCRAT